ACGGAAGAATGTTTGCTTACACATGCGCAGTAAGTTCCTCTTTGGCTGCCTTGCAAGTTATATTATATCCGCGAAAAACAGTTCCCTAGAAATTCAAAATGGCTGGATGTATTCCAAACAGACGCCATATTTGCAACAAAGATCCCCGAAAGTAATCTCATATACCTATTTTATGTAACCTTTTAATTTTAAATATTTTAATTCGTGTAAAGATAAGTGAAAAGAAAAAGGAGACAAAATGTACCTGAAATTTTCTACCCAAATTTTGTAAACGTTAACAAGAAAAATACATGTAATAATAATAATTGTAACGATTATTATGATGATAATCGATTTAGATCTCCACAAAGTTCAGTGTCAACTGTAACAAATAGAAATTGACCGCGTTTTCCGAAACTATAATGACGACCATGTCTCCGTGGAGTTTCCACATGCGTCGATCAATCTGCAAGAGAAAAATAATACATTTAGTAAAAATTAAAATAAATTTAAAAAAATACAGCTGTTTTATTTTTTTCTTTCTTAATCAAATGGTATTTTGCATAAGCTTTAGAATTATACTAAGTGCCATAAGCCAATCAAAATATACAAAAGAAATTTCAACTCTAAGTCTGTCTATCTATCTATCTATCCCTCTCAGCTTATTCATATCTATCTATTTCAGTCTATCTGATTCTGTTCATATGTATCTATCTATCTTTATTCATATCTATCTATCTATATATTTATCTGTATCAGTCTATTCATATCTATCTATTTATCTTTCTATCTCAGTTTATTCATATCTATCCATATATCTGTCTCAGTCTATTAATATCTATCTATCTATCTATCTATCTATCTATATATATATATATATATATATATATATATATATATATATATATATATATATATATCTATCTATCTATCTATCTATCTATCTATCTATCCCATTCTATTCATATCGATCAATATATATCTCTATGAAATTTTATTCTTATCTAAGTCATTTCATTATCTATCTATCTATCTATCTATCTATCTATCTATCTATCTATCTATCTATCTATCTATCTATCTCATTCTATTCATATTGATTTATATATATATATGTGTGTGTGTGTGTGTGTGTGTGTGTGTGTGTGTGTGTGTGTGTGTGTGTGTGTGTGTGAAAAGTGTATATAAATATAAATAAATATAAGTATGTATAATTATTTATATATTATATGCGCGGTACTTATTAGAAAGCGCTCAATATCAGAGATAGAGGTAACATATTTGGTTGGATAGATGTGAGTTTGTGACCCTGGGTTTCACGCTTTAGCGATCGTCAGACAAACTGATTAATGTTTTAAAAAAATTGGGTTATATCTATACATACGCATTTATGTATAGATATAACACCACCCGCATACATACATGCGTCATAGCCGAAACTGCCCACATATGTTTATATATGTATGAGTCCCGACGGACGACCAAGTATGTATATGTGTCTGCATACATCGATGTTTGCGTTAGTACGATGAATGACAAAACGACGAAATTTCCCCCACCACTTCCACAATAACACCAATACACGCAATCTACATAAACCCAAATTTTTAAAACATTAATCAGTTTGTCTGACGATCGCTAAAGCGTGAAACCCAGGGTCACAAACTCACATCTATCCAACCTAAAAATATATATATATATATATATATATATATATATATATATATATATATATATATCAGATTGTGACATAAGGTCAGTTTTTTTAACGTGGGGACCTGAGTGTTTTCACTCGTGCCGCTGGTCCAAGCTGGTCATAGGTGGTCTAAGCTAGTCATAGCCGTGATACCACCAGCACAGGGACGGAGACCTGTGCCAGGTAAGTATCGTCAAGCCACCTTACATCTAGCATGAAACAGACGGTCGCCTCTAAGTGTTGACTTCTTTGTTCAATTTTATATTTACACACGCTCTATCTCTGATATTGAGCACTTTATCCCATAAATATAGCACATCTTAAGACTATATTTCTTCATATATATATATATATATATATATATATATATATATATATATATATATATATATATATTGATATTCATATCTATCTATCTATCTATCTATCTATCTATCTATCTATCTATCTATCTATTTTTTCATCTATATCGATTATATATCAGGAAAGTAAACTTATCATGAAAAGAAATTATCCCTAAGAAGTTAATTCAAAATACTGAATAATTCCAATCGGTTTGAAAACACTGAAACCCTAATCACAATCTCTAGTTTCTAAGTCAAGCAGTTTGTACAGGAAATTAAGATCCTTTATACACTAAGAAAAGATAATCACCTTTTTTTTCTGCCATATTTTCCATTACTAGATATTTTGGCAAAACGTTCTCTTTTCCGTCATGCCTCGGATGTTGTGAAGATGCCAAAAACTGTGTTGGATGGACAATATTTGAACAAGAAAAATTCATACTTAATTAGAATTTAATTTTTGAAAAAAAATGTTCCTTCATTATAGTTAATCTTTCAAGTTTCGTAAAACCAATATTTTTAAATAATTTTGCTTTATAGGAAAATAATATAGGGATGATAGTTTCCACCCGTTCAAGCGTTTGAAGATGTAGCCCGCCAAGATGAATCTGTAAATTCTGGAACAGGTGCTAATCAAAGTGTGGAGAGTAAGGAGGATGGGAAATTTCTTCGCTTTCTCTAACAGATCTTCTTACATATGTCATCTTATGATACATTGGGTTGTGTATTATTGTAATATAACACCATAGTTTAGTGATTTATCTAACTTTTTTCTTCAAAGTAAGTTTGAAACGCTGTAAATGTTTGCAGTAGAATTCTGCTATAATTGTAATGTTGATAAATAGCAATTCAAAATGAACGAAACTAGTTCATTCCTACCAATTACTTACCAAAGCGTTTTTTGAATGATTGACCTTTAACCGGTTCGACTCCTCCAAACCAATGTTTGAGTTACTTTAGACTCTTATAATACACCCATTTTCCATCACTTGCAAAAGATCGGTCCAAAATTGATGAGATGTGTTCATTGTAATGCATAGAATTTTGGATGTCCAATCTTGCTTCTGTCAAAGCATGAGGAACTGATTTTCTAAGTTATTTCAGATTACGGTAAACGTATAGATGACTCGATCTCAGATTTATACTAATTCTACCACTTTGCTAACTCTATGAGTCCAAACTAGTATGGGTCTTATTTAGTCTAATCAGGACAGTGCAAACATCGATAAACATGCCCACAGTAAGACGGTGTGTCAAAAGAACGGTTTTTCCTATGACACCGCTATTATTTTAACTACCTTCACTCCTCAATAATGGAATATGAAAAGAATGGAGAGGGTTAATCTTTGTATACATGGCATAGTGTGTCTCTGCTGTGAAGGTTATACTTTCACTCTTTGACAGTGTTAATTGTTTTAAAAAGAAAGCGATGATCAAAATTGTAATAAAACCTAAAAATAAGAAAGTGAATTTATATATTTTCTTTGTTCTTGAAAATTGACAACAAAAATAATAAACTCTATTAGATTGTTTATTTACTATATTATTTATTGGAATGGTTAGCAAAACATTGACTAATTGCCAATTGATTCAAACTTTTATAAAATGGTAAAAAATAAGGATTTCCTTAGAGTTGGTTCACATATTTTAATAATTTAGGAAATGTTTCTAAATTTATGAATAATTTTTTTTCACTTTTATTTCTTTATAAATTAGTAAATAATAAATATTGCATTTCATTAATTTTAACTGTCTTAGTCTTTAGTATGTTATAAATATAAAAATATTCTTGTAAATAATCTAATATATAAAATATAATATATATATATATATATATATATATATATATATATATATATATATAATATATCAAATGTATAAAATATTCTTCCAAAGAATATATAAAATATAATATATATATATCCAATATATGAAATATAATATATATATAATATACCTAATATATAAAATATATAAAATATTCTAGTAAATAATATATAGAATATAATATATATAATATATCTAATATATAAAATGTAATATATATATATATATAATATATAAAATATAAAATATATAAAATTATTCTTGTAAATAATCTAATACATAAATAGGGTTTAAATTCGCTTTCATCATATGTTTTATCAGAATTCTAATTATCACTTTTTAAAACAAACATTGCCGAGGAGTGAAGGTAGTTAAAAAAAAACAAAACAAAAGGTGTTGTCATGGGAAAAAAAACCGTCATTCTGACACTAGGTCTTTATTGCGGGCATGTTTATCCGTGTTTACCCAGGACAGCTTGTTAGTAGCATAGCTCTTAAGTCACCTTTGCAAAATCATTCAAATTATCTTCGTCAATTCCTTTTATTTACATAATATATCCTGTAAATACGATAACTAATTCGGGTTGATTCTGCAGTGTTTTCTAAACACAAAACATTGAAACTTCTATCTACCCCGTAAAGTTGACAATAGAAACTGCACGTCCATCGTAGATGCGTGCCCGAGTACTTAGACTATGACTATAAGTTAGAATCTCAACAAGGTCGATTGGTCAGGAAGGTAACTTCTCGTCAGTATCGACCTGGGAAGTGCTTCAAAACCATATCACAGATTACCCAAGTTTTGTGATCAGAAGCTGTCAAAGTCAGAAAATAATCCTAACCGATGGGTTAAGAGTACCAATTGTGTTTTAACTGTTGATCAAGCCAGATTTTAATCTTTCTCCCAGACACTACAACTAAGGTCTGCTCAGCATAGTTGCAGTATTTTTTATACTAATGTTCTCGCAATACAAGACCAAGAGCCACTCAAGGTAGAGTGTTACTCTGTTGTGTTGTATGAGCGTAAGAAAAGTTAAGAAGTGAAATTCATGTGTCTTTGCAGGAAAGTCAACAGTTAACCGTAGACTTGAATAGATCAGGTTTGTAGTGATTGGGAAACCATCTTACCTGGAGTCCTTTCCACAAAGCAAACGTAAGGAAACACCAATGCCCGTACGATCACCAAAGTTAAGCAATGTCGAGCCTGATCAGTAACTAGATGGGTGACCGCTTGGGAATTACCACGTGGTGTAAGCTGGAATGTGTGGGTGGTGTAATGGATAATGACTCGAAATTGTTAATCGGAGAGCCGTGTTCCGATTCCAGCTGGGTTCGTTATATTCACTTACGTGCAAATACGCTTGGAAAAGCTATGAATCCACCTCTTCTCTCTCCAGCTATGGGTTAATTAGTAAGACTTGTATCACGAATCATTATTATGTAAAAGAAATTCTCATAAGCTAAAAAAATAATAATTCTGGCTTTAAATAACCTGCAGAAATCGTAGAAAACAAAATCAAATTCAAAATTAAATTATTCTGCATCATATACGCGTTCTTTGTCTCTTTTATTCCATATTTCACATTATTCTGTAGTATATGCATATTTTAAAATATTTCTTTTAACCTAACCAAGGCGATAATGCCACTAAGACGCAAGAGAGAAACCGAATGAAAAGACTTTAGAAGGAACCGGAAACACAAGCCTAAAAAGGAAACAAGAGATAAACTTCTGTTCTTGTCCAAAAGACCAGGGAGAAGAATGAAACGAACGATAGGCGAACCTATCTACTCCTATTGAGGCAAAATAAATAAACAGATAAAATCTCTGAGTTTAGGCAGAGATGTTAGAAGTATAGATGACATAATTCCATAATTCTTGTAGCATAATCGTGTCCTTTTATTCCATATTTTAAATTCTTTTTTTTTTCATTATTATATACGAATTTCCGCTTCTAATTTATATTCTGTATATTTTTTTTCATTTTATAGCATCAGAGACGCTCCGAATGTAATGCCTCCTATTCATTTTCACATATCTTCCCATAGAAAACTGCAACGGATACAAGGAACACAATAGCACCATTGAATAAAGCAGGCTTCCAGCTACAGAATATCTTTTTCATATATTCCACACTACAGACTATGCACTTATTTGGACCTCTTCATTTCTACGGTTGATAGTTGTGCAGGGCTGCCTAGAACGTGGCTTGTCATATCCATTACTATTACGCGGAAACGTATTATCCACCACTAATTGTGCTCACATCCATTGTTTGGACTCCGCAAACATTCAACAAGCATTGGTAAACGAAAGTGGCTGCAATATTTTTGGCATGGAGAAAATCAGTGACACACCTATACTTCATAGACGCTTCCATGTGAGACACCATTTTGCCAGATTTCTGTTTGTAACTAGGCAAAAGAATGATAGGCTATTGGCGGGGAAAGCTCAGCTTCTAGTTTCAGGCAATAATTCACCCTGAGAAGCGTTGTCTTTGTTCTCTTCAAACTACTCAACCTCGGATATCAGATGCTTATCTCAGAGCCCATTTGCATTCTCAAGGCAATCTCCAACGTCATCTTTTCGGGATTAGCTGCCTCGACACATTCTCTTTGATCTCGTCCATTTCGGTTCAACGGCTGTTTTGGAGAGGCCAGAAGTCGCAGGGTGCCAAATGTAGGCGAACTTAATCTGGATGAAGCGATCGCCGACCGAGCAAGTATTGTATATTGATTTCTTTCTTTCCATATTCCATATCGTTCGGTTTCTTGTTTAATCATTTATTATTGTTCTCTATTTCGTCTGCTTCCCAGTTCAACATTTTTACTCTACCATACGTTACTTTTCTCTTTATTTCTTATATATACAATTTACAAAGCTTCTAGTGCGTTTGGTGTAATGACAGCGGCTTGGAAAATACCTATCAAAAGTACATTCGGTCAAACTATATTATCCTGCAGTAAACAAGGAACTACTTAATTTCAGTAAAAGCTTAGACCGCTAATATGAACCAGAAATGAAATTAAACGTCTTAACACTGAAACCCAACAATACAAGAACATTATGAAATTCTAAACGCCTTAAGAAGTTTGTCATCGATTCATACAGACCTTTGGACAATTCCTTAATTCACAAGGTGTGTAAATTCTAAACTGTGTTATTTGAAAGTAGTAGTAATTATAAGTCGTGCTTGATGGGAGTATAATTAATTCCATATTGGGGTGGGCTTACGGCCATATCACGATATACAAATTCTACTATTTAACCCACAGGTTAGGGAGAAGAGATGCGTTCATAACTTCCTCATGTGTATTTAATAATAAGTAAATATAACGAACACGACTGGAATTTTACTCTGCTCTTTGATTTCTAATATATATATATATATATATGTGTGTGTGTGTGTGTGTGTGTGTGTGTGTGTGTGCGCGCGTGTGTGTGTGTGTGTTAGGGGAGACAACTCTCCCCTAACGAATCATTCACTCTTCATGGAAAAAAGGGTAGTATCAGACAACAAGATGGCTGCTGGGCAATACACCACCTTTAGACAGTGAATTGCTTATCCAACCCAATCCTGCTCTATTCCTGGTCGGTGAGAATAAAAATGAATATTGTTGTGTTTCAAAATATATTTAACTGTGTTTTGTTATATTTTGTTGCTCCTAATATTTTGGGTTACAACAATATATATAAGAGTGAACATTGAAGTCAACATTTAGAGGCGACAGGCTGTTTCATGCGAGACGCAATTGTCAGGCCTGACGATTGTATCTATCATGAAACAGACTGTCGCTTCTGAGTGTTCACTTCAATGTCCACTTTTATATTTACATACGCTCTATCTCTGATATCGAACATTTTAACCCATAAATACACCATACCTTAAAACTATATTTCTTCATATATCTATATGTATATATATTCTCATTTTATATATATATATATATATATATATATATATATATATGAATCTAAAAATTTCTATAATATCTTAACGGATAGAAATGAATTAAATAAGATTGCATAATATCAGTTATCAGAAGCCAGTGTGTTATTTATAAATTTGATTAACTTAAAGCGCATAATATCAATTAATAGAAGGAAGAAAGAAGACCCACTATCCACCCCCACACCCCACACCCGAAAAACTCTCACAGACTTCATTTTTTTTCCTCCCTGGTCGTATTGTCAAGTCTGATTTTTTTTTTCCTTTTCGGTCCACTAGTTGGGTAGCGTTAACATACTTTGAAAAAGTTGGCAGGTCACATGTCTGTCTGTCTGTCTGTCTCTCTCTCTCTCTCTCTCTCTCTCTCTCTCTTTCTAAGACCCACTATCCACCCTCCTCTCTACACCGAAAACGGCGAAGCATCAGTAATAGCTTTCTACCCTATCCCATCTCAAATCTGTTATTACAGACAAAAGTTTTAAATATAAATTTAATTAAATTAAAACACATAATATCTGTTATAAGGTACCCATGTTTGAATTATTATATACATTAAATTAAAGCGCATATCAATTATTACTTATTCAGTTATTATTTCCTTTTACCCTATTTCAAAAATGCTTTAGAACCGAATAAAAAGTTTTTCAGTTTTATCCTTTTACTGTGAACATTCCTCGGCATGAACTCTTCTTCCTTGCGGTGAACTGGTCTCGCGGTGAACTTTTCTCGTGGTGATTTGATGGTGAACTTTCCTGCGGTGAATTGGTGGCGGTGACACGTACACGATTTTGAAAAGTGCATAACCACTGAAATAGATGTAATGAATTGGTAGGCCGATCCATAGACGAGGCCTATGATATAATATGACAAGGGCCTTTAGGTAAAGTCACAACTGATTGTCTACTGAGCCATCAGAAGTTGTTTTGTGATGACTTAGTTCAAGCACTCCCTTGTGAAAATTAATTGAAACCATCGTTTTAATTTCCTTTCTTTCACCATACAGTCAGTTTTAGACCAACTGGAGTGACAGTGTGTAATCGATTTCTATTTTTTTTTTTTTTTTTTTTTTTTTTTTTTTAGGTCATTTGCAAAAGTGTGCAGTAATATGAATCTATTTTCGGGGTGTATGATGAAATTTGTTTGACCTTGAAAAATTATGCGTCGTCCGTGATTGCATCAGATTTTTATCACACCCAGACACTATTGTCTCGACTGTCGATTAGTTGCCCTACGGCTATTGTCTGTGATGGACGTTATTCCAAGTAATCATACGAAAATTATAACACTGCACGAACACACTGACAAGCCTTACTAGTGAGAAAATCAAAGTACTATAGATTGGCCCGGAAACTCCCCTGATTTAAATCCAATTGTGAATCTGTGGTCAAGTAATGACTTCGTGGAATGGACATACGAAGTACTAACATGCGCGCTGGGACATGTTTCATTGTAAAAATACGAAAAAAAAGTAAATAATAACGGAATTATTCGTTTTGTTTCAATTAATTTGCACAAGGGTGTAATGCTATATAGAAACAGTGTTTAGGTTAACCCTGTTTGAATTGTCTGAATGAAGGTGTCGGATTGTTAAAAGATTCAAAACACCAAGTGAATATCAAAGATAATGTATCCAAGTGCATCACAAGATAATGTATGCAAGGAGCAATGAAGAAATTTCATTGAGTATATCATTAATTTCCTTTATGCGAGGTGCTTTGTATATATCTACTTTCATATATATTTCTTAATAGATGGGTACCTCTAGATGGTGTAATGGTTAGCAAGCTTGTCTCGCTCAGAACTATTGCGACTTTCGGCCTTGTGCCACATCTAAGCTACGATTGGAAAATCACTATATTTCTTAATAGACTCCTCAGATTGAGACATTCATATGGATGTAATGTCTCCAAACTCGTTCAGAAATATAAAACGCTTTACCCGATCAATGGCTAAAAATGGATCTGAACGAACAAAGCTTGCAGGTCTTATCGAGGACCACTGCTCTTCGACCCTCGTAGACTGGCGCTATACAATCACAAATAAAGAACTGAACCAAGTGAGAGAAAGCGTATATTTTGAGGACTTTCAACAACAGTTGTGGTCCTTTAACAACAACTAAAATGGATAGCATTGTAACTCGAAGAGAAAATAAAAATAATGCCATAATTAAGCTGTCGACGTGTAACACTACTTAAAAAGGAGGAAGGAAACAGCCATCGTCAGCGTGCGATGGATAAATTGTCTGATTTACGCCAAAATGAAAATAACACTGACATCTCATTTTAGAAGATATATTAACCAAAATC